GTGCAATCTTGCATTGCAGCACAAATAACAAATATTTAGAAACAATTAAAAAAATACTGTTCTTATCTACGCGACACTTTAAAATCAGAGGAACTTGCTTCATCGCGCTACTTGATAAATTGGATGATCTTGATAAACAGAGGATGATGCATGAAACAGCTAATAGAAAGCGCGCACCTGGAACAAGTAGTCGCCTAAGCATATACGCTTTCCACTGGGATCAGTGCAGTTTGTATGTGTTTCATCCCAAGCACCTTCACCACAATCGTTGTCACCGTCGCACTGCCATGTTTCCGGAATGCATCGACCACTTGGACATCGAACGCTGCAATTTTCGAGCCATTTCATTTACTGATCCCTAATCCTAGCATAAATGACACTACAACCGTATCACGAAACAGCGCAAGCCTAACACAATTTGCCATAAAGACAGTGCACAGATGAAAGCACTGCTTTGGACGGTCTGTCACAATAAACAGGAATAATATAAAACAAGAAAGAGCAACACTGTTTGTCGAAAAAAAAAATCCAAAACTAACTAATTTGTAGCACACGGCTGATTCATGCAGAACAGTTTAACTTCATCAGCTTTATCACCACAGTCATCATAGCCATCGCATAAGTCCGCTGGTTGTATGCATATATTCGTGTTCGGGCAACGTATTCGAACTCCACGACAGTCGATCGGCAAATCAGGACATGTCTCCTTATTCTCGTCTGACACTTTCTCGTCGTGACAGTCGTTATGTCCGTCACAGACCTGAAATACATTCTCAACCCATTCATGAACACTGGCCGAAAACAGTGTTCATCACGTGCAGCAATGCATATTTCTTTTAAGCTCTTCCCGGACAAGCGATTAGCCATACCTAGTAAATCCACAAACTGGCGCAGCCTTTATACTATCTATTCTTTAGCATGCCACGACGAATCGCGATTCATGCACTGTTTTTATTTTTAAAGGCTCACAGCAATCATTCCAAACGACTGTCACATTTTTTGGATTGGTCATAAAGTGAAATTTGTTTAACTTGATCTTTTTCCGCGCTGTTTCACGCGTTCTTATTTGATCAAAAATTCTTCCAAATAACTGTAAAAAGCTTTTACTGAGATGTATGTAACTGCAAATTCTTATCTGCAAATGTTTCGCCATGCCAATTAACTTCAGTTACAATGAGTGGTATCATTAAACATGCTCAGCTCTTTTTGTGGCCATCTCAGTATTTATAATTGCACCAAATTTGATAAATTTCTCAATTCTATCTTCAGCAATTTATTCAGCACAAAAGTGCATGACCATCACGATATAGACGAAAAGCTGAGGCCCAAAAAAGTTATAGTTCTTTAGAGATCGCCAACTGCTGAGCCAAAATGGAAGGTCAAATTCTTTTGATTTTTTAACTCTCGCTC